TTTTCATCCATCTTGTTCCGGAAGACCCACTTTGTCCCAATGACATGTTGATGAGTAGGTCTGGGAACAAGTTTCCAGACGTCATTTCTGGAAAATTGGTTGAGTTCTTCTTGCATTGCATTGATCCAATCAGAATCAGCTAGAGCTTCTTCAATATTCTTTGGTTCCACTTGTGAGATGAAACAAGCAAGCATAGCTTCTAGATTCTGTTGGGCACTCCTTGTGCGAACACCAGATTGAAAATCTCCAATGATCTGTTGAGGAGGATGATCCCTTAACCAACGAAGATTATGTTGATTGGGATTGACTGGTTGATCTAGTTCAGCTTCTGGTTGAAGAACAGAGGTTGTTGGTGTTTCCGGATGGATTGGCACTGGGTCGCCATTTCCGGAATTGTCGCCGTTTGAGAGATCCGGAATATTGGAAGGCTGACCAACATTTCCGGAAGGCTCAGCATTGTCTGAATCCGGATTTCTCCGCGAAGTCTTTAGTGGCAGACTTCTGAATGGAATGAACTCCGTAGACTTCATTCTATCTCCTTCGTTGACTTCTTCATTCTTGTCTGATAGATCCAGAACCTCATGATCATGCTTTGATGGTTTATCAACCACATGTTTTTCATCAAGAATAACATGTATTGACTCTTCAGTGATCATGGTTCTTTTGTTGAAAACTCTGAATGCCTTGCTCACCATGGAATATCCTAGGAAGATGGCGTCATCTGATTTCTCATCAAAGGTGTTCAGATGATTCTTCCCGTTGTTCAACACAAAGCACTTGCTCCCAAAAATATGGAAATATGATATATTAGGCTTTCTCCTATTCTAGGGAGTTTTGTTGTGCCTTTTATAAATCATACTCCTATTTTGAGTATAGCAGGCTGTGTTAACAGCTTCAGCCCAGAACCTCTTTGGTAAGGAAGCTTCTGCTAGCATGGTTCTTACTGCTTCCTTCAGGATTCTGTTCCTTCTTTCAGCTACACCATTCTGTTGAGGTGTTCTTGCTGCAGATGTCTGATGAAGAATTCCGTTTTCTTCACAGTAATGAATGATGATTTCATTCAGGAATTCTGTGCCTTTGTCAGATCTGATCTTCTGAATGGTCTGACTTGCTTGGTTTTGAATCAGCTTCATGCAGTTGGTGAGTTTTCCTTGAGTCTCCTTCTTGCCATTGAGGAAGATAGTCCACGTGTATCTTGAGTAATCATCAACTACCACAAGGACATATTTCTTTCCACTTAGACTTATTGGTGTAACAGGGCCAAATAAGTCCATGTGAATAAGACTTAGTATCCTTGTAGTTGAGGGTGCCGATTTTGCCTTGAAGGTGGACTTGACTTGCTTTCCTTTCTGGCAGGCATCACAAATGTTTTCCTTTCTGAATACAGCTTTGGGAAGACCTTCTACTAATCCTTCTCTGGACAGCTTGTTGAGAGTTTTGAAGTTGAGATGACTCAACCTCTTATGCCAAAGCCATAGAAGGTTAGTGTCACCTTTGCTGATTAGACAAGCTTCCTTGACATTATCCCACATTACTTCGTAGATGTTTCTGATCCTCTTCCCAGTGAGAATGACTTCATTTGTGGAGATGTTCTTGAGAGATGCCATGTCCTTGCAGAATTCCAAGGAATAACCTTTATCACAAGACTGACTTATGCTAAGAAGGTTATAATTAAGACCTTCAACCTAAGAAACAGCTTGGATGGTTAGTCCCTTGTACACCAGATTTCCTAGCCCTTTGGTAAGGCCAAAATCATTGCTTCCTCCAAAAGTAACTCTTGGACCATCATAGGGAATTAGATTGCTCAAAAGGCTCGCATCACTCGTCATGTGTCTTGAGCAGCCACTGTCTAAGTACCAGACACCTGGGTACTTAGCGGCTTTCTGCATTAGGAGGAGGAAGATTTTGGTACCCAATTAAGTTTGGGTCCGGAGTAGTTAATGGTGTGTGTCCCTACATCAAGTTTGAAGTTGCAGGGAATTTTCCTTGCAGCTTTAAACTTGTTGGGATTGTAATCATAGTTGTAGGCATAAAACTTCCTACGTGCAGGAGGTGCAATTTCCTGTTTCCTCCTAGCAAACCTAGGTTGATAAGACCTATGATATTGTCTAGGTTGTGCATAGTGTGGCCTGTGTCTGTTATAATCATACTTAGGTGGCACAAATAGTTTCTGGGGTGGAGTGTGACTATATCTTGGCATAGTTCTCCACTCAGAATTTCTTGGAAAACTTCTATCTACCCCATAATGAGTGTAGCCTCGTGTATCATGGGGGTTAGAAGGTTTTCTTCTGAAATCATTTTCTCTTTGGGGTCTGTCCAGCTTCCTATAGTTCTTAGGAGGGACTACCTTTTTGGGAACTTCTCTTGGTTTCTCCTTTTCCTTTCCTTTCTGCTCATTTGGTTTGGCAGTAGGTTTAGGAGGGATGAAAGTTGTTCTCCCTTTCCTTTTGGAACTGGAGGGGTCAAACCCAAGTCCTTTGCGACCCTTGTGATTGGTCGTTTCAAGAAGCTTATCCACTGCTTCTTTGGACTTAAGTATCCCTAGTTCTTTGTTAAGGGATTTCACCTTTTCAGAGAGAGATTCATTTTCAGTCTTGAGTTGAGTGATCTCATCCAGTTGACTTTTCCGACCTTCAGTCAACTTGAGATTCTCTTCACTCAATAGTTTGTTCTCCTCTGTTAAGGAAGAATGCTTGAGATTTATTTCTTCAAAATCTACCATCATCTTTTTGAACTGGTCAAAAAGATTTTCAGAAGTTGGTATGCTTTCATAAGAAGATGAGCAGGAGGTTTGTGAAGTTACCTCTTGATCAGCATCATCTTTGGCCATTAGGCAGAGAGAGTCATCTTCTGACATAGTCCACTTATCCTCTTGATTGGACTTTTCAACTCTGCGCTCCATGCAGACGAGGGCTTCCTCATCCGAGCTTGAGCTGGATGACTCATCACTTTCAGCAGCTACCATTGCCTTCTTTTTCTTCTCGTTTCTTTCTCTTTCTCCGTGCTTCTCCACCTTTGGGTACGGGCATGCCGACTTCCAGTGGCCAGGCTTCCTGCAGTTATAACACAAATAAGATTCAGGAGGAGAGTCACTTACCTGTGGTTTTCCCTTGGGTGGCCTTCTGACTGAGTCAGCTTTCTTGAAGAACTTTTTGAACTTCCGGAATTGCTTGATCATCATGGCAAATTCCTCATCGTAGTTCTCCATTTTTGAGCTGGACGGCTGGCTGGGGGAAGGGGTGTCACAGCTTCTTGGGCATGTCCCTTTACTTGTTGGGACTCTGGGAGTTGTCATCAGTGCTGTGGGGAAGGGAGTGACTTGTTCTTCCTTCTTCTTCTTCAGCTCGTGCTCATAGGTTCTGAGCTCATCAAGAAGACCCTGGACAGTGTAGTTTTCCAGGTTTCTTCCTTCTTCCATGGCTGTGGCTTTGGTGTACCACTCAGCTGGAAGAGATCTCAGCAACCTTACATTCTTTTCTTTGGGAGAAAGAACGTGGTTAAGTGAGGCAAGATCATTTAAGATTTTGTGGAATCTTTCATCCAACATATCAAATGATTCTCCGGGAAGCATTTTGAAGCCTTTGAACTTCTCAAGCAGGACTTCTATCTTCTGCTTTCTCAAGTCCTCTGATCCTTCACATAGCTTCCCAAGACCTTGCCATATCTCCATGGCAGTCTTGAGATGTTTGATTTTGGGGAAGGTGATGGGATCAAGTGTCTTGAAGATGGCTGCTTTGGCGACATTGTCCAGATTGTGCTTTTTGCAATCTCTATCATCCCATTTTTCTTTGGGCTTTGGAATGTACTGGACTACGTCTGGAGTTGCTGGATTCCTCTCAGGATTCTCCATTTGGATTTTCAAGGGTCCATCCTCAAGCACCATCCACATACAGTCATGTAGAGCGTAGAGGTGTGCTTCCATCATGATCTTCCAATCATCATAACCTAGAAGAGAAAACTTGGGCAAACCGTGATCCATATTGTTCACCATTTTGATCGCTTCTCGTTAATCTAAACGTAGATAGTGAGAAGTTTGCTCTGATACCAATTGGTGGTCCCAAAGTGGTGAGATACAAAGTCTAGAGGGGGGGGG